GAACACACGTATGAGTGAAACTCTTCATTATAAACAAGAATAAAGAGATATACGGTTTGTTGAACAAACAACTATTAGTACCTCTGCAGCGGTGAGCACACAGAACAGAGACGGGTGAGACGGGTCCAGCCCCTCCAGCTTCATTCCCACCTTAAAACTGTTCCTGCTTTGAGGAAAAGACTGGTGCTGCAAGACAAATGCACATCACAGCAGTCATGAATTGGCTCATCTGGTTTAATATATAAAATTGGCCAGTGTATATAGAGAATAAATACCTCTTTGAATAGTTTAACAGGAGCAGCGATTGCTCTCTCCTCCTCCAAGTAAGCAGGCCAGCTCCACGCCCGTTTCTTATTGGGTGGGGCAGACACTGAGAAACATACTCATGTATTATGTACTGTAACTGGTGCATGACGACCTCCATCACATGCCAATCATCACAAACATACAGAAACACTTATTCCACAGGTTTGACTTTTATTTGATTCAGATCAACTCTTTCAATCAACAAGTTTCTTAAATTGTGATAATGGAAGCTCATGTACAAAGATAATTAGCAGTAAGATGTTTTAATCTACTAGTCTATCTCACAGATGTGATAATGTGCCATAATATTGATAGAAAATACAGAATCAATAAAAACCCCCATTCATTCTTTAAATATGTGTATGCAGTTAAACAATGTGAGACAGTAGCAGCAGTCTAACATACCCAGTTTGGCAATTTTGGCACCTCTTCTGCCTTTAGTTGTCTTGGCCTTTTCCTACAAAAAGATTAAATGAAAGAACGTGTTAATAAAAAGAATGACCAACTTCTTTTCTCACCCCTCTTGTGTGTTTTCTCAACAAAAAAATGTGTGATTCTTTGTTGCAAAAACCTTATTATTAATTAAGTTATTACAGCAAAACTAGTACTTAACACTTGAGTGGCCTGTTAGTCTAAAAGGAAACAACACTGGAGACAAATGCTCCTCACCTCTGGTTCCTCTTGATTTTCTTCCTCTTCATCACCAGAATCCATATAGATCTTCCTCTTTTTGCGTACACGTTTGCCCAGCCTCTCACCCTCAACGGCTTGACTCTCCCTTGCTTCCCCCGGAGATGATCTGTAGAAAAGAAGATTTGACTCTCACTGATAAAACAACACAATCATCTGAAGGACAACGAAGAGGCGTTAAGAGAATAGCAGATGTGAGGTTTTACCTGCCACTGGAGGGCTGAGCACAAATGGCGCTACAGAATTTGCCCTGAAAGAGGGCATCTCGGGGAACACGGCCACCGCAAGCCCGGCACCTTGACACCTCCCCATTCGGGCCCATGTCTGCGCTGGAGCCGACTTCAACACTGGGACCAACCTCCACGCTGGGGCCCTCCGTACTGGGGCCCTCCTCTAAAGACAGAAGCACAGGGCCGGGGGCTGAAGGACAAACCAGAAAGAAGGGCTGAAACTGAAAAGCTTTGCTGTCCATAAATAAATACTAACAATTCTACAATAACAATGTTGTAAGGGTTAAACACGTGCCGTCATACCTTTAGCTTTAGACGATCCTGGCTGACTCTGATTGGCCGGAGCTGTGGCTTTGCCAGTCTGTGATTGGCCCTCTGGTGGAGGGGTGGGAGTGTGAGACTGCGCTGGGTCCAAGGTCTCAGAGTTAGGCTCTGCCTGCTGCCCTTTGACGTCTAGGTCTGTGACAATCTCAAGAATCCCAAACTCTGTCATGCGGAACTGAAAGACACAGTGGAAAACATTTGTGCTCATCAGGGTTTAAATTGTTAAACCGAGGTGGTGCATCTCCCCAATCCTGATTAATCTCATCTCGTAAAGAATCTAGTTAGAAGAGGACAACCTAAATAGTAGTCGCACTATATGACCTGTTTGAAATAAGTCTCTCTCTCTCTCTCTCTCTCCCCTCAAGGTTAATGTTTCTTTAATTAAAAAAAAGGTATTCTTTTTTTTTTTTAAGTTATAAGAGGTGGTTTTAATTTCAGGCGAGGTGGCTCAGGGAACGGGAAATCCTGTTCCTACTAATGTCCGAGTGCGATCAGAGGCTTGAACCCAAACATTCACACAATCGGAGACGATCCTGGACATAAATCTCTCTCGTACCCGAATGTCACTGCCTGGCAGTGTGGCGATACCGTCCTTCCAGTCCAGAGCACCCATCACATCAAACTCAGCTCCCTGGGAGGGGCCATCACTGGGTGGAGTGTCCGTCATTCCCACTCCTCCGATATCCCCAAACCTGCAAAGACATAAGAAGAGTCACATCAAAGACTGGCTCAAACATGTTTCACAGAATTACACAAAATACAACAGAGGTTGAATAAAAATGTTCTGTCCAAAATCTCTGACTTAAATTAAAGCGTTTTTCTGCATCCAGTGTGTTTGACCGTGCATGATCACCACAGTGGAGCAGCCTCCCTGTGTGCTTTTAGCTAAAAAAGTGCTCCTAACAACAAATGCAGTTTCTACCTGCACTTGTAAACAGTATTGTCCAACATCACCGCTAGATGGCGACTGTGCGCTGGCTTGAGGATACACCATGCACTTCGATTTCAGACAAAACAGTCAATAATAATATTGTTTTGCTGGTCAACTAACAGGTAAATACGTGCACAAACGGCGGCATTAGGGTGAACCTTCATCAGGACCACTGACAAACATGAGGAAAGATGCGTCAACTTTAAGTTAACCACACAAGTTCATCTTTTCCTTGTTTTAACAGTATCTCCTAAAAACGGCTGTTTGCCTGTTCATGAACAAGTGAGAGGGTAATTTGTTCACCAATTTTAAAGAGAACACTGTTTTCTGAACTGACTGGCCAAACTTAAAAGCGTTTTAATCCGACTAATATTACGATATAACGTTTTAGTGTTGACGCATGTTCAACACTGAATTATGGGGATATTTTCTGTTTGCAAGGTGGCCATAACCATGTGAAAAGTAAACAACAGCCCGAGCTAATAGATCTTGATGAAGTTAGACTTTGCATTGAATACCTCAGTTTTATTCCGGCCATAAATAAAGTGTATGTAAGAGCGCCCATGATTAGCATTCGTCTTATACAAAATGGCGGAGCATAGGAAGAGGCCACCAACACGTTTAAACTATGTAAATTACTCAAGTTACCCATTTAAACAAATCGTGCAGAGCCGCTACGCGTCGAACAAAACCAAACGCTTGCGGTGTAATTTCCTGACTGAGTGTTTTCCCTCACTCGGGTTATTTTCTTCACTTTCTCCTTGTCACGGAATGTCAGCCCAGGGTGCTAGCTAAGCGCTGACATGAAGCTAACAGCCAGCTAGCTCCGCTCCGTTCAGACTGCACGGCTGCTAGACGGCTAGTCGTAGCATTGTGACTGGATGCAGCCAGCTAAGGACAATCTGTAATAAATAAGTTTCCCGGTTAATAACAGGAGGAAAACGCATTTTTGCCAAACGCCAGCATTTCGCACAACATCACCCGCACTCACAATAACACGGCGCCGCTGTTACGAGCTTCAACATTGTTGCTTGATTAATTTCTTCAATAGAAACTTGAAAAAAAACGATTTATTCTCGCCGTTTTAAATCAGAGTGGAAATAACGTGAACTAACGCTAATTAGCAAGACGAAGGTCGGTTTTTCAAATTTCGCCACTGTTAATAGCAATAAATGAGTATTAACGCCCGTATTGTTTTAAAAAAATGTGGAACTCACCTCGTTTCTGTTTTAACTCTTATTTAGAGCTGGATAGAAGGATGCGCATGCGTGCAAGATGCGCTGCTTGACAACTTTGGGTCTCGGAAAAGTTCAGTTTACTATCGGTGGTCAATACCGGGCCTGTTTACACTTACAACACGCCCAAAACTCAGCTCAGTGCCGATAATAACGAGTGCTCCCGACCGGGGCTGGAGCTCATATTCCCTGTTTGCTCACAACAGCCTCACAAGTAATTTTCCCTCAAGAAGTACGAGTGTGTATCAATGGAGCGCAGCAACCGCAGTGCCTTCCATTACCGTTGAGGAGCGGTTGGTTGGTTGGTTGCTCGAACTGACCGTTTGTTCCCCACTTTAAAAAAAAAAAAAATAATAATAATACAATAAAAACCGTTAAAAACAACCAATTTATGTGGCTGCAATCCGAGCACAGACGATAAGTGGTTTGTACACCGGTGCTAACTGTAGGATTGAACACTCAGGCCTGTGAAAAATCACCCGAAGTGACATTTTTAAAACAAAAAAACAAACAAAAACGAGCCGTTTATGTTGCTACACACACCAACACACACAGTCTTTTTAATAAACACATCTACAGTTATGTCGGTTGGTGCGTTTGAGGTCTATTAAAACTAGTGGTGTTAGATGAAACCGAGCAAGATGAATACACACAGTTCAGCCTAATAAAAAAACCCGTAACGGTGTAATGCGATAAAAACAATGCTCTGTATAATCACCATTTTAGCTTAAATTAGACAGCAGTGCATCGCGCTGAGTGGTGCCTCCTCCTATGGCTCTCCCACAGTGGGGTGTGTGCTTTATGGTTTTAATGTGACAGCTAATCAGTTTAGTTAAAATCGTGACTGTGAATGCTCCTCGTCCTGGGGAGGTTATTTTGGGGTTGATTTTAAGTTATTTGATGGCTCGCTGGTGGACCTTCATGTTGAGCTCTCCTGCAGTATCCAATCCCTCCCACCATAAGGGCGGTTTTTGGTTTTTTTTTTCCTCCGATATAATAAGGCTGCACATCTCTAACAGCCCGTTTTCAGCCCCACTTTTGATGAAAACACCCTCGCGTATTAACGCAAAATCGCCCCGGTCTCCATGACTATGTGTTCAGTTGCTAGCTAACAGGTCCACAGTGAGATAAGTCTTTATTTCAGTCAACAAAGGCCGCCCTGATATGAGGTGAAATGAGTTCAGTGCTCGGCTGTAGAAGCGGCGGCGCTGCTTCGTGTCTTGTGATGGTCGCTAGATGGCGCAAGAAGTCCAGTTTCTGCTGCTGCTGCTGCTGGTTGGTTGTGGTTGGTAGGGGGGGGATTAACGGGGTCGTGAATCGTGTTGCAGCCTGCATTGTTTTGTAATATAACATCCAAGTACAAAAACCATGAGATGGCATTTAAAGGCAAAGCGGTCGACTCGAAGGTAAGAGGGTTAGTTAGTTTAATGTGTCACGATTTCTCCGGTCCGATCAGCCGTCTCTGTGATCTGCTAATCGGGAATCGACTGTGCGATGACAAATGTAAAAAAAAAAAGACACTTAAAGGATATGAGCAGGTTATATATGGCACTGATTTATTTTACAGTACGTGCGTAAAATGCTGCTAGACTTATTATATATGCAGCACGTTAGGGTTTGGTGTGAGCTTGTGTGTGTGCAGCAGATAGATAGTCGTGTGTCTACCTACAGCGCACATCCCTCCCACTGCAGCCTGGTAGCCTATCACATGTAAGACTGCACACACACAGCTCCAGGTTAGTGTTTGGTAATGTTGCGTTAGGTGGAAAATATGCGGTGTTGCCCTACTAGACAAATTAGATGCCGTGTTGTGAAATATTCTTCCCCCCCCCCCCCCTTCCCCGTGTCTCAATCCCACAGACCGTGCTCTTCAATCTGCTGCTGTGTCTGCTCATATTTTACTCTCTTTTCTACATGATTGGGAGTGTGTGCTTCGGTGCCTTCAGGTGAGAATCCCTCACACGCATGCGCATAAACCCATATCTTCATCAGCCTCTGCTGGAAATGTCACAAGCTAAATAAATGCCATTTAACATAAAGTTAGAGCCATGTAGGAGGTCTGGAAAGTCATCGCTAATGGAGCTCCACAGTGGTGTAAATATCTGTAGCCAGATTCCAAATGCATAAATAACTGCAGAATTATCTAATGGGGTTTGAAAGGATTCTGCATTTATGTTTCATGTACCAGACTCTCTAACAAACAGCAATCTAATGCAATCATCCTAATGTGGTGATTACAATCCGGCAAAGTGGGGAAACTGATCCCCAAGAGCTCCAGGTTCACTGCATGGTCAATAAGTTAATGAACTTCAAATACATCTTCCAACAATATTAACCATTAAAACACAGCGTCAGTGGAAATAGTGAGGTTTTTAAGATGTGTCCTGTGTCTTCACCTCATGCTGAGGCCCTTACATAGAGGGGCCCTCAGCCAAAATAGATCTAAATACTGATAATATATAGCAAAACAGGGCAGGTAGTATGTCTTCTTTTTACTGGTAGATGAAATATAATGTCATGTGTAGTGTTCAGTTTGTACTTGACTGTCAGTGGTACTTAATCTGTACTTATGGGATACATTCACAATGGACAGAAAGCAGGAGATACAGGGAGAGGTACAATCCATAGTGGGTTAACCTGGCCGTGGATCAACCATTGCAGCAGTGATTGCATTACTTTACGGTGGTTTGACACACTTTTCTTACAATAGCTGACATTAGTTGTTTTTTTTTACCCCTCACTCAGGTTGGATCACTTTGACGGACTGATTCCATTCGACTTTAAGACCGAACCAACTGAATCTAACTCCAAATACTTGGGTGAGCACACTGAATGCAGCCTATATGATCGACAGTGAGCGTATGAGCTTTTCTTACACTTCCTGTGTTTGGTCCTTCTCAGTGAACCTCCTGTCCTTGGAGCTCACCTACTTTTGCAGCGGCCTTTTGTTTGCTGCAGTGGTGCGGAGGCGAGTCTGGGACTACGCCTTCACTGTTACACTGCTGCATGTAATGATCACCAGCATAGGTGAGCAGCAATCTTACAGTACATCTATCCAGGTACACACACACACACACACAAATAACTGAATGTGTTGTAGATTAAAACGTAACAAATTGTTTCCTTGTTGCAGTGATGTGGGAGTTTCCAATGGTGTGGCAGTGGTGGCTTGCTTTAGGTATAACAAACATCACAGGCAGCTTATCTGTAAGTTATTGCATTAACTGTATGAGCTCAGTTCTTTTTAATGCGTTATATTTATTGTCGTTCTACAGGTAGCGGCTTGTTTCTGATGATCTGTAATGGTCAGCTGATAGCTTACTTCACCTGCCAGAGCGACCAGAGCTACGCCTCCTTCAGCATCTACTGACAGACCGAAAACTACTCTGTGTACAAAACTCTGTTTCACAAACAGTCTGGTGAAGTGAGGTAGAAAGGATTAGACAAGATGCTCTCTTCCTGGAGACACCCATTAGATTCTCCATGGTGATGGGCTTTTTCTGTTTGTCACTAAAAAAAGACTACTTACCATTACACATAGAGTCAGAGCTGGGTCCAATTTGTGTTGTTCAAGGAGATGTTGTCTGTACTTCGCTTCTAATGCACTGTGCCGGATTTTAAGGCACCCGTGAGGTATTTTCAGTACTTTTGTAAACTGTGAATGTAATGGCAGAATGGGCAAGTTGCAATACACGTTTGTTGTATGTGTTAAAGACGTACATGTAAAGTGTTAAAAATAAAAGTGCTTTAGACTGAGTGTTTATTGTTTCATCTTCTTACACATTAAGGTAGCTTAGACTTGTGAAATAGTGACCAGCCTATTTCACATTATGAACTGATACTTAAAATAACAGTAATAACGTAAAAATACACTATTGATTAGTAAAGTGTAACCAATGAAACATACAGTACATTGCAGTGTTAGTGTACGAATATTTTGCTTAAAAATAAACTTTGAATAATTTATGACATAAAAAATAAATATTTGAACAAACATGCTCCCATTGGGTTTGGCGTTGTTATGAAACCAGCTCGGCTGCCACGTACTCCACTGGGTTCATGAAGGAGAATCCTGGAAACGCCTCGCTGGTCGCGCCCGCCTGGCACCTGCCATTCACGGAAGCGGGAACGGGCTGTAGCGTAAACTCTGGGTCGATGTAGCTGATGTCACAGGGACCAGTCTGGAGAGGAGAGAGGAATAGACACTCTGTACACTGCATTGATTAAAAATAATAAAATAGTTCTCTCCACTCATTTCTAAATCACTCCTACCACTTTTGGGATGAATGGGGGTCTGACTTTCTTGGCCAGAAGATCGTCCCAGTTAATGGATGCAAAGAAGGGATGTTCCTGCAGCTCCACCTGGAGACATTTTGGAATTAGGCCCTCTGTAGTTATGTCTTAATGTGCATCATTGTGTGTTTTTTCTTTGTGTGCACTTACAAGGTCACGGCTCGCCCCTAAGCGTTTGAAGAAATCTCTTTCCAGCAATCCCTTTAGCAGTGAGCAGGCAGCCTGAGATGCTCCACTGGGCAGCTGCAGAGGAGCGTGAAGTATGTTTTCAAACATCTCTGCTTTGCTACGGCTATAAAATGGAGGCTGAGAGAAAGAACAGGGAGATGGAGTAAGGTGAAGGTGATTAAGAAGGTAATAAGATCAAAAGGGAGTAATAATTATCTCCTCTGCACTCACCAGTCCATAGAGCATCTCAAAAAGCACAGTGCCAAGACCCCACCAGTCCACTGCTGGACTGTATGGGTGGCCTTGCAGCACCTCTGGAGCGAGGTACTCAGGAGTCCCACAGAAGGTATGCATAATCCCACCGATGGCCACGCCTTCTTTACATAGCCCAAAGTCAGTCAGCATTATGTGACCCTCACTGTTGAGCAGGATGTTCTCTGGTTTGACGTCTCTGGTGGAGGAACAGATTGTTGGTTTAGTCCGGCAAAAGCACATTAACAGATTTGACTGTTGTTTTTGTTTCATTTTCTTCTGGTTTCACCTTGCTTTCCTTTACTGTTTATTTTTTAATGGGGTCTTTGGAGGACACAGTGGTTTTTAGTGATATCATTTTCTATGCAGAGCTCTCTTATCAAAGTGAACCTCTTTGGGATTTCCTTGTATAATCAATTAAACATGCGAAAATGTTTAAATCAAACATGAGCAAAGAAAGCGAGCAAGCGGTGAGTCAAAAAAAACTTGTAAGAGTGACTGTGCTGGGCGCCCGGTTAGCTCAGTGGGTAGAGCTGGCGACCCATGTACTGAGGCTGAGCCCTTTGCTGCGTGTCATGCCCTCTCTCTCTGCCCCCCTCTCCTGTCTGTCTTCAGCTGTCTCTATCATATAGGCAATAAAAGCCCCAAAAATACTAAAAGAGCAGCACCAACCAGATTAAGACTAAAAACAGTCACAAACAATAAATGAAAAATGAGATTAAAACAAAAACATGGAGGAGAGTAAATCTGTTTAAAGGCTCTTATTTAAGGAGGGCTCCACATCAACAAAACAAAGAGCCACGATAAAGACGGATGAAAGCGGCAGAGAGCACCACACCGAGAGCTCTCCGACGCCACCACCTGTAATGTCTGCTGTATACAGCTGGCTGTGTGTCTGACTCTGTCCTCTGACTTTATCAAACACCTGCAGCAGCAGGTCGCTTCTTCAACACCCACTGACTGCAGGATAATGTCAGTAAATCCCATCAAATGCAGACTTCCATCCCGTGAGGTCCCCTGGTAACATAGTCCCATGTGAATAGGACTAATGAAGCTCTATAGGTAAACCTGCAGCTTCAAATAAACAAAAACTTTATAATATTATTTTTAAACTTGTGAAGGAAGAATTTCACTGTTTAAATTGTTTTAAATCGACTAGAAATAAATATGTAAAACGTCTGCCGGATGGATAAACGGTGGAGATTCTGTAAAACCTCAAACTAGTTTTTACATTTCTGAGATTAAATTTATAATCCTTCAGGTTTCACCTGGTGCATCTATGTCCATGCTAACCATTTGCTACGCTAGCTGTTGCAGCAGCAGTTTCCTGTAGGATGGTGAGAGATTATCTGACTAAACCTTTTTTACCTGTTCTAATGTAGAAGAAGAGACACGCAATCAGACTTTAGAGCATAAAAGCGCACTGTGGGCAGGAAGCGTGCTGGCGGCATGAGCGCGCCTGCGGGTAGAGAGCGCTGGGCGGTAGAGTATCCGCTGGAGTAGAGGGCACTGCGGTAGAGAGCGCTGCGGTGAGCTGTAGGATGTTTGATTTTGTAGTAAATGTGTTAAAACAAGTAAAAACACAGGTCTGGTCATTTTAAACATGGTTAGCATGTAGCGTTAGCTTGATGAAGACATCCTGCTGGCAGGTTTAGCTGAGCTTCTTTAGAGAAACTGACCTGAGAACAGTGACTGTGTGCTCATCATGTATGTGTATATATGTATGATATCTTTTGTATTATATGGGCTAATTAACGACTCACACTATCTCTTTCAGTCAGATCTGACTCTGGTGATGAAGTATTTAATTTTATCTTCTGAATATCTGACTATTTATTGTCTGTCATGATCTCAGCACATTTCCCTCTATGATTAGTTGATCTGTGTTATTTATAGTAGTGCATTATAAAGAGAAAAGATGGTGTATGTGTTACTCTGCTGCCAGTGTTGTGTCAATAAAACTGATACAAACAGTGTGGTCCTGTTTATTATCAGAAATCAAATGAATTCTCTTTAACTCAGGTGAGTGAAGATGGTGTTTATTATGGCATCACTTTTCTGCCATATGTGGTGATAAAATACTCAACAATTTATTAAGATCTGTAATTCTAGCACACCATTTTATTGCCTGCGTGCCCTATGTATATCTAATGATTATGTTACCTTGACAACGGCAAAACATGTTACTTATATCTTTATTACCCCTGAGAGCAGTTTTCTGTACACTCAGCAGTAATTACATAACCATCAGACAACCACAGTCGGTTTGGGACTTGTATGTTTTTTACTCTTCGTAGCCATTTAAAGGGCCAGTGTGTGGGATTCAGTGGCAGCTAGCGGTGTAGTTGACGGTCAGTCTGTTTGGTCTGTCCGTTCTGGGCTACTATAGAAACATGGCAGACCCCGCCAGAAGAGGACCCGCTGTCACTGTAGATAAAAACCTCTCATTGTGACAAACACAATGATTTTTATATTCAGCTGAATAAACACTAATGAAAACGTACCTATGGATTTTATATTAATGTGAAACACTGGAGTCTGAATATCTTACAGAAGAGCAAATTGTAAAAAAACAATTTTCTAAAAACAGCATCACAACTTGCTTTATTGTTGCCCTGGTAACTGTGTTTAATGTCACAGCTATGAACTGTGGGTAATTCCCTCTGCAGAAATGCAGACGTACAGAAAGAGCTTAAAGGACTCAAAACAGGTAAAGTGGATGAGATCAGGAGGAGACAGACAGCTGCAGTCATGGTCACTCATTTCAACTTGAATAAGGTAATACATATGTAATGCATCCTCTATA